GGGTTCAGGTGGAGTCTTACCCCTGAAATAACCATTTGTGAGGTTTTTTAATACCAAAATCGTGTTCAGGGCCCTAAAAAAATCCTGAAAAAGCTACAAAATAACACCCTTTATGAAACGGGAGTGATTATGTCAATTTACCATTTTGTGGGTTTTCTGTATGAGGCATGAAGGCTGAAAATGTGTTTTTCATCTTTGTTTCAGATTGGTGAAAATGTTCTCCGTGCCACAAACTTGCTTGGGCCTGGTCGTCTTTGTGGGTGCACTTGTTGCTTCTGCAGCTTCTAATGACGCTGTGTCCACATGGGACTTTGAGATTTCAGAACGCTATGATTGGGAAGTTTCAAAACGCTATGAACCGAACTGGGCGTCTCTTGACAAAAGGCCCTTACCCTCCTGGTACGATGAGGCTAAGATAGGAATATTTCTCCACTGGGGTGTGTTTTCGGTCCCCAGCTATGAAGGAGCATGGCTTTGGTACTGGTGGAAAGGCCCCCAGCCGAGGCTCAGTATTGTGGAGTTTATGGCCCGGAATTACAAGCCTGACTTCACCTACGGAGACTTCGCCCCTCAGTTCACAGCCGAGTTTTACCAGCCAGCCCGATGGGCGGATATCTTCAAAGCTTCTGGAGCAAAGTATGTACCGTATAAATTTTATGTCGTGTGCTTATGTTGTCTGTTTGTTTGAATTTTTGTATTCTGAACTGTCAGTGCCTCTGTGTCAGGGTTTTGTTTAGATATAAATTGTTTTGAGGTGGGAGGAGGCTGCAAGACTTCTGTAAGTTATTTTTATCCGACATGACTTTCATGATAGTTTCACATTCATTGGATAATGTGTTTAATGTATTCAAGTGCACATTTATTTCAAATTTTGATTTTTTGGAGTTTTTTGTGGTTTTATTTTTTTTATTAAAAAAAAATAAATTTACACCTATTTGTGTGGACTGCAAAGTTTGAGAAGAGAATTTTCAAATGCACTTTTCATCATTCTTTTCGAATTTGAATGTTGAAAATATTTTGTTATTTTTGTAGCCCTCAACCTCTGTTATATTTACTGCGAAAGATTCTTCTCCTCAATATTTGTCTACAATATATGAGAAAACTACTTCCAGGGTTTGATTACCTTTAAAGTTAAAGCTCTCTGGTTTCTTTTGGAAGTGTATTTTATTCAACTACATGGTCGATAAAAGCTATTATTTGTACAGTTCATATGGACTCATCCTTGATATCCTGCTTGGAATAAAGCTGTTTATTGTAGCAATGCTCTTTTTTTATATATCTCTTTTCCAGATATGTAGTCTTGACAACCAAACATCACGAAGGTTTCTGCAACTGGCCTACAAAGTACTCTTGGAACTGGAACTCAATGGATGTTGGTCCCAAACGAGATCTTGTTGGTCAGTTATCTTATCATAAATCAGCGTTTAAAAAGTTGGGTGTGGGTTGTTGGCAGTTGTCTGGTGTGGTTTGCTTCTTCTTTCCTATCAAACGTCTATCGTCCTTAAATCTCCCCTCCTTCTTTTTTATGTTTGTTACTCTCTTGTAACACCTCTAATCTTCTGGTGCTCAAATGACCTTATGCAGTTGCGAGTGCCTTAAAACCTCTACAAAAAAAAAAAAAAACTTTAAAAGTTGGGTTCTTGTCTGTGTATAGTATTTGAACTCTGTTTTGAGATAAATTGAAGTGTCATTGTTAAAAGTTGCTGAACTCCAACCATGGTGGAATTTCTCATGCAGGGGTGTGGAATGATGGGGTTTTTTCTCTCTCTCTCGCTCTGTCTCTCTGAGTCTCTCTCTCATTCCCCCCTCCCTTTCTTTTTCTCCCTCTCTTTCTCTCTTC